GAGTTTATTATAATAAAGGTCTTGTAGAGCAATATTTTTCTTTTAATGGGCTTTTAAACCTCGATAAATTTTAGACGTTGCAGACATTCAATTTTTGAATTCGCTATGAGCTCCAGCCTCAACAACAGCCTCTCTTTTGACGTCCCCATCGGAGATACACCTCCGAAGACAAGAACTCCTTTAAGACCCAGAACCCCTTTCAGAAATATCGGTACTACCGAGGATCTCAATAAAAAGTTGGAATCAGCATCTGAACGTCGAAAACAGGCACTTGAGGTGATACTTCTTCCTAGTTAATTATGTATACCAGGAAACGAAATCTCGGAATAATGAATATGTTACACGCGTTTTAACTACAGCCGAAAAAGAAAAGAAGCGTCATGAGGAAAAGATATCGGTACTGCGGGAATCCATGGAAATGGACCTAGCTATGAAGTCGAAACGACGAGATCAAATTTTAGAGGCAAAAGTTGATTCTGCAAAAAAACGGGTTCGTTCATATATTGTTTATTTTTTTAAAGCTTGAGAAAGTCGAAAAAATACTTCGTAACAGGGACTCTCTCAAAAATAACGATGATTCTCGTCACGATGATCATTCCAATAAAGAAAATGATGACCACTCTGAGATCGAAATCTTAAGCGAATATTGCCATGATAAGGTAGGTTCCTTTCTTAATTTTAATTAATGTTTTATAATTTGTCATTAGTGAATTCCTTTCTTTCAGGCCGACTTGGTTACTCATTCCTTAAAGATTGCCTCAGACACAAACGAAAACAATATTCAAGAACAATAAGTGCATCCTTCAGTCTATCTACTGTTATTTTTACTAAATGATCATTTGGATTTGAGCATGTATCTTGTTTGTGGCCCGGCCCTTAGCAGCAGGCTGCAATCAATGTGTTTGGCGCCGAATTGTCATTTTTTATTAACTGTAGAAAATTGTTCAAATACACATTTTTCACCTCTCTTTCCTTGCTCAGTGCTTTATCTTGATTTATTTACGGCTTTATATACCATCCTGGAGTGGTTTTTTTGGATTCACTTCTTTGATGATTATCAATTGACACGTTATTTTGGACATATTTGTTGCTTAGTTTGACGTTTCTTAATTTTCAGGCTGCCATGTACGAACCATGAACCATCTAGATATCCCTTTATTCGTATGCTCTTAATAAACTTCGCTCTGACTCTTATTTTTTAGTAAAGGTTAATCCGTTTTTGTTATATTGTCACTTCTCCTCACCAGTACTATAGGCATATTTACGTCCGACAGCTTCGTTGTCAAAATTATTTGAAGAGAAAATCGTGGTTGCTCTGCTTGTTCGTACTAATTAACGTTATGCCTAGATGTTTTAATTATTTTTTTCTTTTTTATGATCCCCCATCATCACGCCATACTGGGATCCGTCCGCTTCATTATAAATACTTATTGCATCATCTCTGCGTCTTCCCGATCTGTCGTATACGATTTAAGTAGAGCTTAAGGGCATCTTTTTGTGTAGGTGGATATCTATTTCCTTCGAAATTGAGATCGGTCATCCCGGTTCATCATTATCGCAATGCATATTTGTATTGTCCGCAAATATACCGCGCATCTCAACTGTTACGCTCATTGTTGCGTATATCTCTTTGGTTCCCTGAGGCCGGTCTCATGCATAGGAGCGGCACCATCTGGCGTAATTTGCTTCTTATTTCCAGCTTTTTCATTGTCTCCCTACGTTGGCGTCCATTCCTGCCAAATATAGCTAGCTACTGCAACTACTGTTTTACTCGACTCCTCATTTTCGCATTTTTAAAATGCCATCATGTTCTCTGATAATTTATTCTCCCATCCGAGTGTATCGGTTGGTAGGTTATGATTGAGCAGTAGTCATATGGCCATGCGTGATCGGTCTTTGCGACCTCATATTTTGCTACACATATTCATGAAGTTCCGTTTAATGGTGTAGGAAAACCCTTTGAGAGTTTGTTAAACAATTTTTCACGCTAATTCGCCATTGACCTGATGGGGGTATGGCACAGCAGAGTTTTGCAGAAGCAAAAAGAACTTACAAGATACGCTAATCGTTATAAATTTTCTAATCCCCATCTGAACATCGGTGCATCCCCCATTTTCAATCAAATGTTTACCGTTATTATCTCGGTTAATCACTCCCATGATTTATTGACGGCATTTTCTTTGCAACAAAAATAGATTTCTCCCAATTCTAGTCTTATCCTTCAAGTGATACTCTTATTCTATCCTATTATAAGGGTGCAAATCTCGAATAAGGGTGGGCTAATGGGTCTCATAAAATAGCTAGATTCTGCATTAAGTGGCAACTGTGAATGAGGAGATCGGTAAGCCTGAAGACTACGTCGCATATCTCTTGCGTCTCTTGAACCAAAAAGTAGATTGGAAATCGTTTCACCTCGTTCTCAGCTTCCTCGTATTGTCGGAGACTTAGTCGAACAAACAGTGCCCTTCTCTCTCATATTATGTGGCGTTAGTGCAATGTTCAAAGTTCCACGCTGGAAATTATTGTGGATTATATTGTAGAGGATTCCGGACAAGATGCACTTATGTCTGACAATACCACCAATATGTTAAAACGGGGTCAAACTACTGAAACAAAAAGAGACTGCGATCATAGTGGAGCACACGTCATCTTGTTCCTCATACCTTCCATTAAAAAGTACATTGTCTCAATTCTTACTGATGTCGAGTTTAACATAAATGTCATTAACGCAAAATGTATGGAGTCTTGCAAAAATAATTTTAAGCTTAAAAGGTGGTCAACTATATTACTGTACAAGATGGAGTTTTGCTATAAAAATTTGTGGTATGATTGAAAGTGAGGAAAGTTAATCAATCTTATTTCATTTTTAGATAGGTCTAGTTTATGAACCCATTCCATCGGGCATCGCATAGGATATTTAAAGTGTAACTAGAGAAAATCCTTAAGGATATATTCACCTACCTTTAATATTTGCTGAGAAGAGCCGAGATTCTAGATATTTCAAAAAGGCTAATGTGATACGAATTTCATTTTCATGTGATAGTTGGTTGGAAGATATTTGTAAATTATTAGCAGGTAAATCGAAAAAGGATCGCATACGAGCAGAGACTGTTGGATTATGCGAAGAACCCCCAATCTATCCCGCCGTGATAAATATTCTCAGGAGGGAGCCATGATCTACAAAAAACACAAGATAGGTAACAGGCCCAGGCCATAGTCTTTGTCATACCTAATTCTACGATCCAAGTGACGCAGCCTATGATCTGTTTGTTTACTCAAATCAAATAAAATTTGAACGCAAATGAACGAAGTTGCTACATGGAAATGTGAATGTGGTTACAACATTTTCCTTTTATAGGTAAGCTGTTTTTGACCTGGTAAAGTTAGACTTTGTTTTGGTGTCATTGAGAATATAATGGCCTCAAATTATAGGAGTGGGTTGACCTCGTCGCAACTTGGTCTTGTGCTCAGGGAGACTATGTAGAACGCACCGAGTCCGAAGTCGTCTGCCATATTAGTTGTCTTGATTCCCAACATCTGACAGTAGACTTGATACATTCTCAAACGTTTCGCCAGCATCATTAGTGAGCCTTTCTCCGCACCAAGATACGAACTCGTCAAAGAGACAAGTGAAGTCAATCTCTCAACAACTGTTCTGCTGGGAAAGGTTACACTATCACTCCTCTTTCTGTCATTGTCTATCTATCTACTCTTTACCCTCTTATCCCACTGC